CCCCCCCCCCAAACCCCCACTTTCCAACCCCCCCTGGGGTTGGAAAGTAGGATTTTGTCGAGATAGAATGTAAACAACCGCCTCCCTCTGCCCCTCCTTTTTGGCAAAGCCTCATATCTATGATCGATCTAGATACCAAGACCACTTTAACCCAAAGCCCCCTAAGCCTGCACCCGAAAAATTAAAAGCCATCCTGCGAGGCTGCTGAATCACAAGTTCGCCTCCTTTCGGCTGGAAACATGCTAATTTGCAACCTGTGCATGAGTTCCTTTTCGAGGGAGATCTCAGAAGGCCGATACCAACCTGCATTCGGCTTTCCTTGATCAAGCCTTCGGGGTGCTAGTTTTCCTTGCGACTGGAAGCCCCAACCATTGCACTAGATTCCCGCAGAAGCTAGGGAGCTGTCCTAATGCATAATATGTCAGGCGAGTGGCAAGGAAGGCGGTAGAGCTCCTAGCAGGTGCTGTGCAACATTCCTTGTGAAGGCGTGGGGTCTCGATGCAAGTGCAAAATATTCTTCGGAAGTGTGTTGAAGTCTATGAAAACCACTAGGCATGAAACCAGCGTGAAACCAGCGTGAAAACAGCGTGAAAAGCACCGTGAAAACCGTGAAAAGCACGCGAATAACTGTGAAACTATTTCCCCCCAAAACACCAACGAAATCACACCAACTCAAGCGCATGCACACAGTATGTTTTCAAGCTTACTTTGACTGCATCATGATGTGGACTGCCGCAACACAGGTCTTTCTTGCCTTTTGTAGGCCTAGCTGTAGAGCTTTGGGGGCTGGATCGGCTCGATGTCGGCCAGATGTCGAGAAGATTTTGCAGAAGGCCGGTGAAAGGCAGGCCCGAGTGGACAAGAAACCGTCGGAACCATCGAGAAAATGGCAGGGACCTCTGCATTCGTTCAGATTCACGTAGTTTATAAGACGATCGAGAACAGTATGCCATGTCACAAGTCCTATGCCCAGGTCCTACGACAGCTCCAAAGAAGATGCCCAAAACCCGTGGCCCGACTTCGATGATTCGCCGCCTGGAAAGAAAGAGTCCCCCCCGGAAAGAAGGAGTCCCCCGCTGGAAAGAAAGAGTCCCCCACTGGAAAGAAAGAGCCCCCACTGGAAAGAAAGAGTCCCCCGCAGCAGTAGAGGAAGACAGCCCAACAGGTAAGCGCACATTCCAACGTGGCAAGGCAGGCAAGCAACCGCTTCGCACCGATTCCATGCAAACAGTTGTGGAGACGCCCCCTGCGAAATTGAAGCGAGCCATCACCGATCAGCTGACTGGTTCTACAAGCAAGAAAGTCAAGCATGCTCTGACAAGACCCCAGACAGTTGACAAGAAGAACACCCTAGAAAGGCAGGCCAGTGCCCAAGCCGCCCAAAGGAAGTTGGAGCATGAGTTTGAAGATGTGGAGGAAACCCAGCGGGATGATCCCAAGGAGCCCGCCCCTAGCCCGGCCCCGAAGCCAGGAGCAAGAAGCACAACGTCCACCGCAAAAGCAAAGCCGAAAGCAGCAGCAGCAGCTACCAAGAGTGCAGCAAAGAGCAAGGCAAGCCCAAAAGGCAAAGCCAAGGCAAAAGCCCGCCCAGCACCGTCGAGTGATGATGAGCGAAATGACAGTGCCACGGCCGGGTCGAGCAAAGACCATGCCTCTCCTGAGCCCACGCCAGCCAAGTCTCAGAAGAAGCAAGCCAAGCCAGAGTCCCCCGCAAAGCACAAGCCCAGCAAGTCAGACAACGACAAGCAGGAAGACGAGGATCCCAGCGACAAGAAAAAGCAAGCCCACAAGATGTACATGAGATTCTACAGAAGCATTCACAGCCATGATCTCAGATTGTCGTTTGTTTTCTTTTTTCTCTCTTTCTCTCTCTTCTTTTCTCTTTAATTTTGAAAGCTCTCTCTCTCTCTCTCTATTTAAACAGGTCGCTGCACGCCAAGCGAGATCAAGAGTGCTTTCGACAAGTCGAAGTACTGCAACCTGTTTGCAATCATCAGCAGGTGTCCTGGCATTTGCACTGATGTTTGTTTGTG